TCCTGAATAGTTTTATACAATTTTTATAGGCGTGGCATTCGATTTTATCCTATTTTCAAAAAAAAAAAGAATATTCTCTTTCCATATATATTCAACTTTCAACTGTGAGAAATCGATGTCAAAATTCTGTTAAGTGCGAGAAATCGAACCGCCTTTATTATTGATTAAGAAAGCCTCCAAGATAAATGACTTTATCTCGAGGAAAAAACTCCTAAATAATCTTATTCACGTATGTCTTGAGCCACAGGTCGAATCTATCCAGTGCTCATTTCAACAAGAAATAATTAACGCCAAATCCGACATCCAAATCTCGAATTTCTACTCACCAAAACCTTGGTGGAACGAGCTGCTCACTTCACAATTCCGTAGACTACAGGCTGCTAAACAAAAATTTTCCAAATACCCCAATATTTCTAATTTTGAAGATTTCAAGTTATCACAAAAAGAATGGAAGAAATCGATTAGAAAAGCCAAAAGATGCCACCGAGCCCTCGTTATCGAAGAGCTGTGCTCAAATAGCAATACAAAGCCATTCTGGAAATTTTTAAATGGTCATCGCACCACAAAAAAGAAATACAAACACCCCATTTGGGATGATCTCAACAACAAATCCTACCTTGAATGGCTGAAAGCTCAAGTTCCCTCGACATGTGGTCTCCAAACCTCCTTACTTAACTCTCGGATGGAAAACATCTCTCCATTCTCCCTTGATGAACTCATGTACGTCCTTAAGTTGAAAAAGAAGTCCACAGCAGCAGGCCATGACGGAATCAAATATGAAATGATAAAGGTCCTTCCCATGCCAAGCCTTCAAACCCCGCTATCTGCTATAAATGAGCGCTGGATGGCCAACTCGTTTTCACAAACTTTGTGCAGACTTAAATCTAACTTTCAACCCGGAAAAATCAAAAGTCATTCGCTTTGCTAAGGGTCCCAAAAAATTTTTTTACATTACAATCAATGGTATAAAAATCAGTCCGTCTTCCTCTTTTAAATTTTTGGGCAGAATAATCAACTCAAGTCTAACCACGCATGAGCATCACAAGGATAGCCTCGAAAATTGCAACACATGCTCAAATGTCATCAAACTTCTGACCAACATTCACACCGGACTCCCACCTAGGAAAGCATTAAACGTTTACAAATCTATTGTTAGATCCAAAATTGAATATCCCTACTCTACATCGTGTAACGTTCCTGCGTATACATTAAAAAAAATACAAACCTTTCAACACTCAATCCTAAGACGTTGTACCGGTTTGTCCCCCTCAACACCAACATCAATTTTACGTTCCATCTCTTATGAACTCCCCGTTGCTAAGAGAATTTATCTTGTAACTGCAAAAGAACTTCTCAAGGTAAAAATCTTCAAACCTGCCTTCTTTGACGAGGTCGCTTCCAGACACAATCATGTCATCAGCTAACTGCTGCAAAAAATTCAGTAACATCTTCAATAAAGTTAACTCAATACCCTCCTGGAATAATATTATTCATGATAAATGCGTAGTTGAATTAAACTTACTTAATTCAATCACCAACTCAAAAAAAAATCGATCAGGGTCTTGTCTTCGAATCGCTTGTCTGCAAAAACTTAACCGCTTCGTCGAAAATAACTTCAAAATATACGCAACGGATGGATCTATCAATTCGGACATCTCTAGTTTTTCAATTATTGAATACCCAAACTTAGTTATAGGAAAATTCAAAGTTCTACAAGAACTATCATCCACTTTCATTGAACTTCTGGCCATCAGACAAG